TGAATATTTTTTCACATCAATTATTGTCACTTTCAGGATAAATGGTAGATGGAAATTTGTACTATGAAACCCAGACTGTTTGTTAATAAAAACAACTATTATTCCTGCGTGTAGTAATACTCATTCAATCTAAATGTGATGATTATATAGCGACAATGTTTTTTAATGTTCTTTTGAGCATCAGTGCTATTGTAGCAGCATAATTACTCTGGAGAAGACATGTGGTATAATATAAATAGGAGTGAATGCAAGAAAAATTTCAGGTAGCCAAGTGTTTAAATTTTTTTATTAAGATCTATTTGTTATTCGGAACGTAACTATTTGAAAATCTGAAACAGTTAGCTAATCTGATCGCTTCACTACCTGTACTTAAACCGAATGCTCACATATCCCTTAACACTGTAATGAGTTTTGTGAAATATACACTGAATGGTCTAAGAGTAGTAATTATAACAGTTAGGGTCTATGTGGTCTTAATTAGTCAATCACTTCTTCTAGAAGTAACAAATCCTTAAGAAGAGACTATTTAAAGAAATTGTCTTAAAAATAATATCTGTAGTTAACGCATTTGACGACAACTACCCTCTGTTTTTATTTTATAGCGAACTGACTGAGACAGAACAGTTAATGATAAAACTCAAGCTTGTTGCTTTTTTCGCATATGAACTTAGTTTCAGTTCATTAGAGGTTTCCTAATGATTACCTTCAACCAGTCAACACTACTAAACATTCATAGGGATGCTTATACACCACGGAAATTGGAGATCTTGAAGTCAATTAGTAAGAAGGTATGAGCAATATGATAATAATTACTTGCATCTAAATGATTTTTGTAATTATCAAACTACCACTTGAACATGGTAGTTGGAAACCGACTTCATAAACCTATATTTAATAGGTGAGATGAGTACACTAGCCAAATTAAGACAGAGAATGGCAGAAATTCCTTTCTAGATACATTGAATTTAACTAGGATATGTAACAACGGTACTAGCAACCTTATAGTGGAATAGGTAGTTCTTATTGTACGTAGCCAAGTTATCATAGTACTACAGAGAATGATAGGAGCTACCTAAATGGTCTAAGACGGCTTAGCTTCGCAGTGTTGTTTTTGAAGTGGATGTTAATAAAATAAACTCAGTTTCTTGAGGGTATTATTATATATCGTCTAATTTTCAACGAGAAGTGAGTTTTTCATTCACATTTTAAATCTAGTTAAGCAACAAAGAGTGGCTTAATACCGCAATAAATAGCGTTCAGTTTTGAACAAAACGGATTTAATTTTTTGAGAAAAAATGAGTTTCTTGGTGGTTTCTAGAAATGTCACCTAGATAACCGGCTTCTTACTGATTATTTTCAAGCGTTCATTAATATATTTTATTCCGTAATATTGGTATCCAATCATTAGTGTAATGTGACACATCGAACTTTAGAAGGTTAGCATCACTTTTCAATTTCTGAGGATGTTGTAGACGAAATGAGCTCCAAAGCTGTAGTGCAGTGAACGATACACTAACCGATGAGTTAATATTAGCTAATATCATACTATCTAGCCTTTAGAGTAAGTCAAATTCTATTTGCCTCATTTTAAATATACCCAATAGACTAAATGATTCTATCTCGCGATGAATGTTTTTAATGGTGAGTCAGTATTGCTCTAAATAGATCAGTGAACGATTCTTTGATGATGACCCAGGGCATCACAGGTTCAAATTCTATAGCAAACATTAGTCTTCCTAAATCTTCATATGAGCCTTACTAATTATTACTAGCCAATGCGAATTTTAAGTTTAAAACATACCGTTGATTGTATCCAGCTTAATAATATCGTGAATGACAGTTGTGCGTGAGAATCTATTAGGCAATAGAACTATGAATACTATTAAATATAATCATGCTTGTAAAAAAGGATTAAATTTGATCGAACAAGGAATAAATTTACTGATAATAAAAGAAATGTAAGTCTATCCTATTTTTTCTTTTAATGGTGTGTTAAACAGATAAAATAAGTAAATAAATAAATTAGCTTAATAATGATAATCTTTACTGATACAAAGAATAATATAGACAGTGTTGAATGTTCAGTTATTCTCATGGGTAACACATTGCTTATTGGTGCATAAAAAAGACATAAAAATTAAAACAACTAAAGTTATCATTTCAATGACATGAAAACCACTACAAACATTTTTCTTCTAAAAAATAATTATCATCTAATAAAGGTGATCTTTATTAGGAATTATTGAGTGAGTGAAAGAATAAGAGAGAAGTGAATAGTTACTTTACTATATTATGTAACTGTATCATTTAACAGTACATAAATTTGTCATTAATGTCAAAAATTTACTTTCAAACCATTGTATTTGTTTCATATTGCTGAACACGTTTCTTTTACTTTTTTAAATCCAGTCAACCTGTAATGTATTAATTCTTATTCATTATTGTCATGAACGATTTGACTTACAACCTTGGAGAGGTTGATGATTATGGTAAAGTTTGAACTGATTGTAGTTGAGAATTTTAATGATTTAAAGACAAAAAGTAGTATTTTAATGGGTGGTAACTAGTTTGTGATAATTTTTGACTATCGAGATGTTTCTTTACATGGATATGGAATCATACAACTCAACTATCTGATATTGTATTTATAGACCGTTGTTAATCAGTGAAATCTTGAACATACATTTCATCCTATTTGGGACAATTCGATTTATATAGAATCAATAACGTAGCACTTTATTTTTAAAAATTATCAGAAATATTTGGTTTGGTAATCTGAATTACAACTTAGCTAGAACGTACTTTGTGAGTTAATTTTTAATATTACAGTAGAGCGTACACTACGTATGGTTATGAACAGTTAAGTTATTTTTATTTGGAAAGGAAAACGTTTATCCACAGATTATCAGACTATAATAACTTGAGTCACAGTATTTTAATGCTGTATTATGTGGCATTTGTTTTATTATTTACTAATGGTGGCTAGTATAATCGTGTTGTTTAGTTGAGTGGACTGTCGATAATAGTTCGGTCAGTCAGTCAGTCAAACGCATCGTAGAACCTGTTACATGTGTATATGGGTCCAAGACACCATACCCGATTAGCACGGCGTGATGAAATTGTTGGGGAAAATTCCAGAGTAGCAGAGATAGCAATAGTATTAGTGGTAATGCAAAAGGTTAGGTAAGGAAGAAACGATTCGAGAAAATATGACTTAATGAAATTTTAAAAAGACAACATCAACCGTCGAGGTAGGTAATGATTGGGTATACATAATACATGTCTCAATCACGTTAGTTGATGGAGATTTATTACCTCATTAACCGATTTCCCATTTTTACTTAGTACCCTATCCCTGACCCAGACATTACATATTCGGTGGTCCAAAAGCACATCAGCAATACTTCGAAGACATCATTGATCGAATACTGGCAGCCTACTAGTGTTCTCTATTTTTAATGGCTGTTTCACATCCACGAATTAGAACGAAGCAAACTATTGCACAGTAAACTCGCCATTTGGTTTGAAGAAGGATATCTCACGTACACCACAAGTGACGCAAGTTGGCAAAAGCCAGTCGAGCCTTCTGAATCCATGCAGAGATTCTTTCAGATACCAAACCACCAGGACTGATGCGACTCCAAAGATAAGCGAAACTATTAATACGTTCAACTACTCCACTTCCTATTATTAACCCAGGTGCTAACCCAACCCAGCGCTGGAGCAACGTTATGCATTTAGAGAGGGAATCACATATGCAACACGCTTGCACTGTTGCTTATGGTGGTCAAAAGACTCTGCATTTTGTCGGTATCATCATTAAGTAGAACTATATTATCCGTGTATTATAAGTCAACAAGTAAATCACTTGACAGAAGACCAACCACTGAAAAGTTAGAGCACTACTTCCAAAAGGATGTCAGTGACAAAATTAAATAAAAATTGTGAAAGCGGATAACCCTAACGAGCACCACTTGAAGTAATCAGTTTCGGTGACAGTTCACTATAAGCTCTGACTCGACCAGTAGTTTTCGAGTAGTGAGCCTGTGAAAGCTCAATGTATTTCTTTGGCATACCTTTCACCGAACGGCACTCCACAGGATCTCGAAAGAGTTGAACGCCTCCTTAAGGTCGGGCAATATAACTATTGCTGGACATCGAAAAGTATATCTTCATTCCATAGCCTACCAAATGCTGAATATTTAGTTTATACATTCACATCCAAGTCCGAAACTACCCCTGGTGTTCACTGACTTGTTCTTCACGGCCCCTGTTTAAGCGTCGAAGTTGAGTATGAAAGGAACGACGTCAGCTGGAGAGCTATTAAAAACCTCACCCAATACTAAACCAGTGAGATAGGTCGCACAATTTGCGAATTACTTTCAGTCCATTGAGTTGGCTTTCAATCCTCCATATTTTCGATTTCAGTAATTTAGTAATATACCACAACCATCTTCTGACTAAAATAATCTCTAGAATCCATTCAACTAAATAATAATTGGTAATACCATAATAATGAAATTAAACCTTAATGAATAATGTCATAATCCGAATCATTAATCTCTAGGTTATTGATCAGACTCTACATATCCAAAAGTGACATCCAACCACTGACTGAATAAACTATTCACCATAACAATATAAAGTTTTGCATCCACCTGACGTGCACATGAGAGTAATACACAACTGTTAGCAGTTCAGTATGCTAACCAACTAAGTCGTACCTTTCTATGCCAATCTAAATTGATTATTCTTATTATATAAAAACAACAACTAAATGATGTATAAACTGTGTTAGTTTCATTTTTATAACAATATGCGTTAAATATAATAATAATAAAATCATAACGTATGAATAACAAAATACCTACCAGTATGTTCAGTTCGTTTAGGTGTAATTTGCTTTCTTCTATGCATTTTAGAATTTATATCTAAATGAGTTTGTATTGTCATAGTTAATCAAAGTAAAATCCCAAACATGGGCACATGTTATATAATTATTATTGACTAAATGTGATTTAATTAATTAAAATGAGTAATGTATGTTACAGGGATTCTGATAATAAATTATTGTGTTTCTTTTCATTTGTCAGTGTAATTACTATTGCTGATCTTGTAGATAGTGTCTGATAATAATCTGACTTTGATGTATTTCTAGGAGCCACCTTACTGATTAGCTTTAAATTTCCTACAAGGGAATAAACACAAATAACATGATATGTACAATTGTTTCTCTCTTTCTCTTTTACATGCACAATCTCTGAGTTCTTCAATTGGGAATAAATTTTCTAAAAAAAATTGAGCGAAATATCTTTTTAGTGTTAATCAAATATCAAAGTGCATTTACTGTCTAACAGGATTATGATAATAAAGAGCAAGAAATAATTATGTATTATTGTTTATTTTACTTACCGTTATTAGTTTCGTCTAAAATGAAATGATAATTGAAATTTGATTCATGCGGTGAATTTTTATTTTAAAATATAATCTTTATTATTTAAATGAATGAACACATTTACGCAATCACCCCTTTATTGAAATCGCTAGTTTCTAATTTGACATGTGAGATTTACACAATAAACATGATAGGCATTTGTTATCATTGACTTTGTAACTAACCCCCTCTGTTTCTTTTTAGATATGTGGTTATATTAATTAGTAATAAATAAAATTAGTCGATTATAAGCTAAACACAGACAGACATGTGCTTGAAAATGATAATAAAAAAGGCACGCTTTGTAATTAGCTGTAGTATATCAGTTACCTATTTTAGTTTTCCTTCATTGACGATAATAATACTAATAATCATAATATTCTGTATCGCGTAATACATTGTCCGAATAGATCTTTGAAAGTAGTCAGTAAGATGATTTCTACTCGAATTTCCTCCTCATAATAACACTTTTTGGAAAAGAGTTAACTTATTTAAGGAAATTCATACGTCTGTCCATGTGTAATATCCGTTGGTAGTGGAAAATATCAAAAAAATATTTGGTTTTATTTAAAAATTATCACCTGGACTTTCCCATATTCTTGTGATCATTCTATCAAACGAGGAACTGATTTATGATAAATAACTACTATTCTGCTGATTTTAGTTAATATAAGAGTTTTGACATCCATATTCTTTTTACCTTTTACCTCATACTCACACAGTTGAAATCATTAATTCACGTATAATTTATTGTGTATCCATTTCAAATTAACTTAATTACACCTGCTACCTGTAGTGAAGGAGCATAAGCCACTCACCAGCATCCTCCATCCAGCTCTGTCCTAGACAATCCTTTCCACTTGTTTCCAGTTGCTTTTCATTCTTTTGATGTCTGCTTCCAATTCTCCTCACACTGTTATTTGGCCTTCCTCTTTTCCGTTTTCCTTCAGCCTTTTATGTTAGCACATGCCTCGTGACGCAGTTTGATTTCCGTAATGTATTTCCTATCCACCTCCAACGTATTTTCCTCTTCAGCTGGAATTTCATCTGGTCCCTCTCACACTAGGCTGTTGCTGATGGTATCAGGTCAACGAACATTCAGTATCTTGTGTAGACAATTGTTTACAAATACTTGTGCTTTCTTGATAATGGTTGTAGTAGTTCTCCAAGTTTCACTTCCGTACAGTAGAACTGTCTCGACGTTCGTATTGAAGATTCCGAGTTTGGTGTTGGCTTGCAAACAGTTGTTTTGAGTTGCATATGTTCTTCAACTGTAGGAATGCTGTCCTTGCTCTGCCGATCCTCACCCTTACATCTGCATCCGATCCTCTTTGTTCATCGATCATGCTGCTGACCAGATACGTAAAACTTTCCACCTCTTCCACAGTTTCTCCATCAAGTGTGATTGGGTTGGTGTTCTCCGTGTTGTGTTTGAGGATCTTGCTTTCTCTCATGTGTATGTTGAGGCGTTCTGATACAGAGAGTTTTCCTTCATTGACGATAATAATACTAATAATCATAATATCATAGTATTCTGTCCGATTCCGGCCCTAACTTGGAATGAGTCTGTCAGGTGTCGTCCATGCACGACTTCGCAGTGTATTCCGTCATATGAATTCCAGATGAGGTTGATAATTTCCTCAGATACACCATAGTGTCAAAGAAGGCTCCATAAGGTTCTCCTATACATACTGTCAAACGCCTTCTCATACTCAATGAAGTTGTTATATAATGACGAGTCCCATTCAATCAATTATTCAACGATGATCCGTAGTCTCACAATTTGGTCTGTGCACGACCGGTCCTTACGACACCTAATGATCTCGAAGCTGGGCGTCTACTGAATCCTTCATCCGGTTCAGCAACACTCTGTTGAAAACTTTTCTTGGTACTGACAGTAGTAGTGTGACGCCCCTGTAGTTCTCACATTTGCTCAGATCTCCTCTCTTTGCTATCTTGATGAGGTGTCTTTCTCCCCAGTCTGTCGGTGGCACTTGTTCTTCTTCCGTAATCCTTCTGAATAGAACGTGGAGTATATTTACAGTGACTTCTATGTCTGACTTCAGTGCTTCGGCTGGTATGTTGCCAGGTCATACTGTTTTCTCACTCTTAACTTACCTGATGGCACTTTCAATTTAAGAAGTAGTCTGTTTCTCCATACCTCTAAAATTATCATGTGTTGATCGATCCTATAGAGAGGTTTTAAATTTATAGTCGGTTATAAATAAACGTGACAATCAATTCAATTTGTAAGCGTTCGAATTAGCACACTGTTTTTGTTTTTTAATATCGACATTGGAATCCAGGTGCATCCAGCAAAAGTTGTTGTCCACAACCATTCGATAAAGAATAAAGGATTTATAATATTCTTCTTTGGTTTCAATAACTTTGATATCTCCTATAAACAGATAATCAACTGGCACCACCTAGGTAACAGCTTTATAAAAAAATTATTTGTAAATTATCCTGTCGGTTCGTAGTACTTTATTATTTCCCAGATCGATAAATTCAAAATAAATTAGGTCCACAATATTTACACGTAAAAACTTCTTAAAATACTTACACTTTTCTTGGTTGTCCAGTTAATATCTAAATAGGTTTGACTCACAAAACTTGAACATCATTTAGATCTTAGAGTTGAATCTTATCATCTCACCTCACCCAGTTAACAATATAGATGACTTCAGTTATAATTCATTTGATCAATATACTTTAATGGAAATATCCTCAATCATTTTATTATAACTTTGAGCTTTTGGTTAAAGCTAAGTGATATTTTAAAATTGTATGAGATGTTTACAATTTTTTGCAAAATTAAATAAACAGTTTGACGTAAACCAGGTTTACTGAAATCGATTTCAAGGTGGCTTTATCCACGGATTGATCCCGATTGTTGGATCACAAAAAAACTAGGAGTTATCTAATCAGCTTGTGACGAAAACCATCTCGAAACTACAGTAACCATCACAGTTAGGTAACTGAGCGAAACCATAACGACCAGGTTCAAATGATTTCATTCTACTCAATAAGTGATAATCATAACTTTGCAAATATAGTTAGTCATGGCCACACTATTTAATTTAATCAACATAAGCATTCAAGTAATTTGAACTTCCTAAATTACTTAACCAAACTATTGATAATATTGATAGATTGAAAAAGAACTTTGGACTTGATTTCCACTATGATCTTAAGAACCAATTACTTCAGAGTTCAAAACCATATTAACCAAGTAATTATCTTTAAAAAAATACGTCAACCAATCAGTCGATCTGTTGAATCATATTGATGAAGTATAACAAAAAGCTCAGGTCCATAGGAGAAAATAAACGAAAGAAAAAGACTACAAGTAACATGACAATACTGGAAATGAAAACGATGCATGAAAATATTAGGAAGTAGAATAGTTATTCGTATTCATTATATTTTCCACTAACTAATTTAAGTGTTTTTGAGGTCATTTTATTCGAAAACTAATTTCAGCGTACACAATATTTATTGCAATAGGTCATTATGCAAGCAATACACTTTACAATTAATATGTCATATTAATTAATACAATAATTGTCTCACCCCTTACAAGCGTGTGCCTTTGTCACACGTGGTCTTTAATTAAATCGGAATTGAAATGATTATTTAACAGTAAATAAAACAATCCTTTTTTTGTAGAGTGCATGCCATTAGTAAGAATAGTATGTATACTAGAGATCTACAGTTTTCCTCTCATTTTACAAGAAAACAAAAATTAATTAACCGACTAAATTCGCGTGGTATTGTGTACTTGAATCTTCCTATTGATGTTTAGAACTGTAAATGATCAGTCTCTTATTGACATATGTGGATACTGTGTGTATTGCCTCGATATTGCCACAGGTCACAGGCATTCTGAGCAGAGATGGATGGTGGCTAGTAACGGAATCCAGGACAATTATGCAGCGTGCGCAGCTAAACGAAACGAAAATAAGCAGACACCCGCAAGTATTTTAAGAAGACAATTCCAATTTCTCTGAAACTAACAATACTTGAAGACCATGATCACTGTGTTGTGCATCAGTAGCTTACAGTTAAACTTCTCACTGCAAAGTAAGAATTTCACGGATTTCGTTTTAACGAAAAGGTTTAAACTGATCACTCTAGTGAAAAATGGATTTGCATGAATATAGTATAGTATAATTGGGATATGATTAACAACAGAATTCGGGACGGACGTTTAGTTCTATTCGAGACTCTTCTGCTGAATATACTTGCATCCCAGTGTTGATGTTCATGCTGAAATTTGAACCCAGTATCTTTCACTTTAAACATTAACGGATTATCTACTGGGCTAATTAGTCTAAATAGCCATTAATTTGTTCAATAGATGTGATAATACTAGTAATAGCTAGCAACTTTCAGTCTTTGAAATTTAGGACTCCAACTGATTAGTAAGTACGTCTACATGTGATCATTATAACCATGTATGCACACTCACGTTCCAGTAATTCGTAAACATCAATCAGTAAATCATCGAAGTTGTTTTCTAATGATTATTTAACATTATGAAAAAATTCGTTCTGATTTCCAGATTCATAAACTTATTGAAAGTTGGAATTATATATATGTATATATTATCAAGGTAATGAAGTTTGAATAGGACTGGCTGATTTTTGTGTGAAAGTTACAATATTTCACAAAGGAGATAACAAACTTATACTGTGAATAGCTACAAATTAATTTCACATTTGGTTCACTATAGTTCAAGTTAGTACTTTTGTGTTCTCCACGAAAAGCAAGTTATAATTTCAATTTTTCCTGAAACCATTTGATAAACAGAATATACAGTAACATGAAATCAATCATTAGTATAGTTCTTGCTGTGAAATTGACTAAATGTTTTAATGAGTTATTTAGATCTATACTTATAGAACCTTATGCGAATTTACCGAAAAGAATATTCTTCCTTCATGTATTTTTGTTTTAAGAGAGAAAATATAAATATATTTACAAAGTGAAAAATGTTAAAAATAACTACGGTTAAAGGAATGTCATTTAAAGCGTAGTGGTGTTGTATACCGAAAAGATCAATGAGAAAATGTTATCGCTGTTGCTGTGCATTAAGTTCTTGCTGGTTATCCATAGATAACAAAGTGATTATAAATTTTTCATTAAATATTTTTTGTCGGATTAGAAGAGTTAAGAATCGTCAAACAGAAATATGCTCAGGATAGAGGTTTGTGGAGATTGTAGTAGTTTTAATGGTTGGATTCATGAGTTGATCTAAGGTAGACCATCATCGAAAACCTGGAAGCATTAGACAACCGTTTTGTTTTAGTGTGGGACTCCTCAGAAGAGCTTGTTCACGACTCCACATGTGGGACTCGGACCCAGGACCTTCGGTCTCTCGCGAGTTTGCTTAACCTCTAGACCATTGAGCCGACACACAACAGTGTTAATGTCAAACTTCAATCGACTCATGAATTCAACTATTAAAACAGGAGTATCATAAACATATCTGAACATAATTAAGAAATAAAAATGAAGTCTAAAATAACCATATACGGTAATTGGTTATATGTTTTACATCATATTAAAAGAGTTCATTATCGTCTGTATCAACAGATGGTGCTTCAAGGTTTGTGTAACTTACTGTGTATATAGTCTATTTTAAATTTATTATTCAAGTTTCGATTGTTCCATTAGGCTTAACACAGCGAATAATGAGGTGCTAGCATGAGATATAAATATTACAATGAACTGGGAAAAAAATGCTACTACTACTGCTACTATAATGACACAAAAGGAAAAGCAAGATTCTCCGGTACAACACAACATGCACCAATCAAATCACCCTTGACAGAGAAGCTTTGTAAGATGTAAAAACCTTTACATATGTGGGCAGCATCATTGACGAGCACTGTGGATCTGATGCAGATGTGAAGGCGCGGATTGGCAAAGCAAGAGCAGCATATCTACAATTGAAGAACATCTGCGACTCAAAACAACTGTCAACCAACAACAAAGTCACAATTTTCAATACAAATGATCAGACAGCTGTACTGTATGGGGCGGAAACTTGGAGCTATCATCCAGAAGATACAAGTGTTTATTAACAGCTGTCTACGCAAAATACTTCAGATCCGTTGGTCAGATACTATCAGCAACAACCTACTGTGGGAGAACAAACCAGATCCCAGCGGAGTAAGAAGTCAGGAAGAAGTGCTGAAAGTGGATAGGACACACTTTGAGGAAAACACCCAACTGTATCACAAGGCATGCCCTCATCCGGAACCCTCAAGGCCAAAGGAGAAGAGGAAGACGAAAGAACACATTACGCCGAGAAATGGAGATAGACATGAGAAGAATGAACAAAAATTGGATAGAACTAGAAAAGAAGGCCCAGGACAGAGTAGGCTGGAGAATGCTGATCGGTAGCCTATGCTCCACTGAAAGTAACAGGCGTAAGTAAGTAAGTAAGTAAGTAAGTAAGTAAGTAAGTAAGTAAGTAAGTAAGTAAGTAAGTAAGTAAGTAAGTAAGTAAGTAAGTAAGTAAGTAAGTAAGTAAGTAAGTAAGTAAGTAAGTAAGTAAGTAAGTAAGGTTTTACGGGTAAGAGTTATTGAATGCGTAATTCAATACTAGCACTCTCCGGCGATCGACTCTAATGATGGAATACTATAAATACTCTTACATTGTGGAATTATTTTCATTAGTATTAATTAGATTAAGTTGATTTCCTTCTTAAAAAATAAACATGTCATCTCTATGTTTTATTATTTTGTTGTTGTCCCATTTAAACTCTATAATGATTCACGTGATAAACTACATCATCATACTAATCTTTTTCTAAAGCATGATGTAGATCGAGTCGATATAGCTTTAATTTGCTGAAGTTGATCAGTGATTTGTGCTGGTTATCACTGTGATTACTGAATTAAAATAGGTCATTGTAGTAATAGTAAGTATACGGAGAAAACAAAAAAATAACGAATGAAATGGCATGTTAAGTAAGATAAAAGGAACATAAACACACTAGTAAGTGAAAGAAAATCAAACGAACAAATAGATACTAAACTTTCAATCTATGATTCATGTGCTTCATTTAAAATTAAATACTAAATGATGAGTGAACGTTCATTTAATTGTTTTTTTTGTTCAGATAACATGTTTCTCAATGACCTAATAACTCATGCTTCCTTCTT